GTATTCCTATAGGTAGATGTGATCAGCTGAGAATCAGCTGATGCAAGCTTGACTCACGTGACCTGCCAGAACTAACGCTAAAGCTTAATTAGTTTTTTAAAAAGATATTTGTGTACTGTACATACCGTAAGGGAGATATTGGTAAAATCTAACCTGTAGTAAGTTAGTCTTGTATCTAACAATGTACTATAGACGTTGGAACATGAAAAAACCCTTTCCAGGGATCTTTTATATGTAAATAATTGTGTACTGTACATATATGAAAGGAGGTATTGGCAAAATCTCACCTGTAGTAAATCACTATGAGCAATACGAGCTTTACAATTTGACAGTATGTTATTTTAAATGTTAAAAGTCATTTTAATTAAAATACATTGGTTTTAACCCTGTCAGTGGAATTGTCAGACGGTCCCGTGGGTGCGATAGTGCTTCAATGTATTCTCCGCTTTATATTTGCATCAACAATACACCCAGGCAGTTTTCAACTCCTATTTTTATGTCAATATAAAGTGGTTGTATATTGTTAAAACTAATTGTGGTATTGATATCTTTGTAGGACTGATGACTCCATAGATCAGTGGTAACGGAAAGCAATTATAAAGAAAATGCAGCGCGTTTCTTCTGACCTCATTTGCTTGCCTGTATATACTGTAGTTTGCATAATCATAAGCATTTTCTGAGATCTGAGGTCCTAGTTCACCGAGGCACGTTACAATCCTGGAGTGTGACGTATGAGGGGGAACCCCAGTATTACAGCACAGCGTCACACAAGCCATGATACAAAGTTACGGAAACTAAGCAACTGAAAGCAATATACAGTATGTCTTCCTCAGATGTAATGTTAGTTCTGTACTTCAGCGTCGAATAAAACAGCATTATTATCTCCTTTGTGATAGAGAAAGCTGCTTACATGCAGGCTATGGGAAATAGTGAAGATGTTGAATTAAACATACACACAATCAGCTTTTCCACATGTTTATACTGGCCACGATAATCAAAACTTCTACTCAGCACTTGCTCCATTTCTGCAAATCAGTTTTTGTGAATGAATGACTTAATCCACCTGTTTGTTGCTTTGGTCTTCATTAACAGCCGCTTGCGCCACCTGCCAGTGAGCGACTGACAGCATCTGGAGATCATGCATCGGTGCTCTACTGCTATTCCTGCAGCTCCCGGATGTGCAATGCCGAATTTTCTGTCGAATTTTAACCACTGAATTTGTGGAAGCGAATTTGGAAAGTGAAATAAAATGGACCGAAATTTGCCTGTCGAATATTATACATTGTGTTTTTAAACAGATTGAATATTTTGGAAGTGAACTCTGGAAGGTGAATATGAATTATTGAATGTTTAATTATGAGAATATGTGTGAAATATTTTGAATTGAAAAATTCACAGCTTAAATAAACAACTATGTTAAATTTCAGGACCTAAAAATTAGGGATGCTCCGATCAGGATTTTTGCAGTCGATACTGCTGTACCGATTTCTTGTCATGGTGATCGGCCGATACCGATGCCGATTCTGATGCTTCAAGCTTTATATAGTTGTTTCATCGTTGTCACACGCGCCTGGTCCGAAGTTAACTTCCGGTCTGTGTTTGTTTATCAGTCTGGCTATGGCACCGGCTACAAACGCAGTTAAAGTTAAGGTGATGACTGTATTTCTGAAGGAAGACTATCTTTAGAAAATTTTCGATGTCATTTCCATTTCATCTTGCATGTTATATGCCTGATAAAGCAGTGTTTGTGAGTTCAGTGCTGTTTTGTGTACACAGCCATTACTGGGGAAAACTCTGTTTCTCCCGCTTTAAAGCACCTCCAGCTGGCAGAGAATGCCTGTGTTAATGCTATTGAGTAGGCTAATATGGTCAAAGAAGATATTTTATTTTTATAAATAAATGTTCATTTAAAAGCAGCCCACGATTAGCGTGTTATGTTACCATTTATAAATAAATGTTAATTTAAAAGCAGCCCACGATTAGCGTGTTATGTTACCATTATCCTTTATGGCTCCGACGAGGTTTTGTTCGGTCCTCCACGCTGTGACAACTCACAGAAGACTGTTTTTAGCCAAGCAGCGCGGAGAGCTGCTTCAGAAACGAGCCGTGGCTGGCTGGTATTAAACACAAGCACTGATTAGAGCGGCCGTGATCAGCTCCGGTGGCCGTGGAGTCGTAACACACCGCAGACGTGTGCAGTGCAGCTCTAATCCCTGTTGAAAAAACCAGCATATGCTGGTTAGGTATGTTTTGACGCTGGGATGCTGGTTTAAGCTGGGCCTTTGCTGGTTTATGCTGGTCCTTTGCTGGTTTAAACTGGTCATTTGCTGGTTTAAGATGGTCCTTTGCTGGTTTATGCTGGTTTAAACGGGTCCTTTGCCAGCACATGACCAGCATAAACCAGCAAAAGGACCAGCATAAACCAGCAAAGGACCAGCATAAACCAGCAAAAGGACCAGCATAAACTAGCAAAAGGGCCAGCATAAACCAGCAAAAGACCAGTTTAAACCAGCATCCCAGCGTCAAAACATACCTAACCAGCATATGCTGGTTTTTTCAACAGGGATGTCACTGAATCTGCTGTTAGAAATTAACCATCCATTCATCCTATCATTATGTAAAACATACAAGACAAATAGCGAATTAGGGGACAAGCACCGAAGGTGCGTAGTCACCTATTGTTTTTGTTCTGTTTCTTATTAGGGGACAAGCACCGAAGGTGCGTAGTCACCTATTGAAATTGTTGCCGTTATTATTATTAGGGGACAAGCACCAAAGGTGCGTAGTCACCTATTGTATTCCTTGGCGTTATTATTATTCTTCCTCCTCTTCTTCTTCTTCTTCCGCCGCAAGTCTATGGCAGCCCATAGAACCGCTTGCGGGAAAGTTGTATAAATTGGCACACTGATAGGGGACAGTCTCAACATTAACCACAGCAAGTTTGGAGTCTCTACCTCCTACTCTCTAGCGCCACCACTTGTCCAAAGTTGCAATTTCTTAATGCTAATAACTTTTGAACCGTAAGGCAAAGGCTTAGTTTTTTTTGCTATTTTTAATTGGAAGGTGCGTAGTCACCTATTGTATTCCTTGGCGTTATTATTATTCTTCCTCCTCTTCTTCTTCCGCCGCAAGTCTATGGCAGCCCATAGAACCGCTTGCGGGAAAGTTGTATAAATTGGCACACTGATAGGGGACAGTCTCAACATTAACCACAGCAAGTTTGGAGTCTCTACCTCCTACTCTCTAGCGCCAACACTTGTCCAAAGTTGCAATTTCTTAATGATAATAACTTTTGAACCGTAAGGCAAAGGCTTAGTTTTTTTTGCTATTTTTAATTGTTCGTAAAATTACTTTGTCGAACTCGTCATAGACGGTTTGTCTGATTCTCACCAAAATTGGCTCAGATCATCTTCAATTTCTTAATGCTAATAACTTTTGAACCGTAAGGCAAAGGCTTAGTTTTTTTTGCTATTTTTAATTGTTCGTAAAATTACTTTGTCGAACTCGTCATAGACGGTTTGTCTGATTCTCACCAAAATTGGCTCAGATCATCTTCAGACCATGCTGGCAAAAAGTTATGGAATTCAAGTTGATTTGTCCAACCGTTCTCGAATAACGCACAAAGGAATTCCACGAAAAGCATGTAAAAATGGACGTGAGGCTATATCTCCGCAACGAATTGGCGTATTGAGACCAAACTTGGTGTGTGTTATAACAAGTGTGACCTGAGACTACCTGCAGTGTTTCGGCGCAGTGCCACCTAGTGGTCATGAGATATGAAAAATGCATATTGTTGCTTATAACTTCTGAATGGTTTGGCCAAAAATCACAAAACCTGTCTCTTTAGATTCGGTGCATCATGCCGAGTCGAACCATACCAAATTTTTCCATGTCAGCCATTTTGGGCGTCGGCCATTTTGAATTTAGTCAAAAAATGCAATATTTTAAGAATGGTTAGACTTTGTTATTACGAAAATCAGTATGCGTCTTCGGCACCGTGCCCTGATGGTACACAAAAATTGTGGGTGCAGCGCCACCTTGTGGTCAAAAGTTATTAAGCAATTTACAAAAATGGTAATAACGTTTGAATAAATTGGGCTATTGTAATGAGACTGATGTTGATATATTCCTTGGATCATGCCGAGATCATCGATACCAATTATGCCATAATTGGCTGAACTTCCTGTCCGCCATTTTGATGTGGTCAGGAGATATAAAAAATGCATATTTTTGCTTATAACTTCTGAATGGTTTTGCCAAAAATCACAAAACCTAAAATGAATTTAGTCAAAAAATGCAATATTTTAAGAATGCTTAGACTTTGTTATTACGAAAATCAGTATGCGTCTTTGGCACCGTGCCCTGATGGTACACAAAAATTGTGGGTGCAGCGCCACCTTGTGGTCAAAAGTTATTAAGCAATTTACAAAAATGGTAATAACGTTTGAATAAATTGGGCTATTGTAATGAGACTGATGTTGATATATTCCTTGGATCATGCCGAGATCATCGATACCAATTATGCCATAATTGGCTGAACTTCCTGTCCGCCATTTTGATTCATGTTGAAAACCTACTTTTTCGAACTCCTCCTAGACCTTTATTCCAATTTTCACCAAATTTGACTCGGATCATCTTCAGACCAAGCTGGCAAAAAGTTATGGATTTTGTGTCGATATACGAAACGGTTTTCGTTTAGCGCATCAACGAATTTGCTGAAAAGATGCCAAAATGCATCTGAGGCTGTATCTCTGCAAAACTTTGACATATTTGCACCAAACTTTGCATGTGCCATTGTCACCTCACATTGATCATGCCACATCAATTTGGCAACAGCGCCACCTATTGGTCAAGCGTAATAAACCATTCATTAACCATTAATAATTACATTCATAAAAATGCTAATAACTTTTGATTGCATTAGCATATTGCAATGAAACTGATATCAAAATATTCCTTGGCTTATACCTACAACATAGATACCAAATATGCCAGAGTATGCTGAAATTCCTGTCCGCCATTTTGATTTATGTTGAAAACCTACTTTTTTAAACTCCTCGCCACTCGTTGGTCCAATTTTCACCAAAATCGAGTTCGATGATCTTCAGACTGTGCTGACAAATTGTTATGGATTCCGTGTCGATAGACGAAACCGTTTTCGTACAGCGCTGCTACAAATTTTAGTTATGGTGCCAAAATGACTCTGAGGCTATAGCTCTTTAAAGCTTTGACATTATGACAACAAACTTTGTCTGTGCCATTGTCACCTCACTCAGAACACACCAAAAGGATTTGATTACAGCGCCACCTGTTGGTCAAAAGTCATAAGCCATTTAATCATATTACTAGTGGTTGTATTTATGATTTTTCAGCCATTTCAATTACAATCATCCTAAAATTGCTTTTATTACTCATTGTTGCATTTAGTCACACCTCATAGCATCATAGCATTTCCACACCAGCCATGACATGACTGTGGCGCCAAATCATTTATGTCCCCACGCATCATGTACGTCATCACACGTTGACGTCATCAAATTGCAATCGGTTCATGAGATCGGCCAAGTTAGTGAGTACCGATCGAGTCATAAAATGTGATTATCGGCCGATACTGATCTCTGGCCGATCGATCGGAGCATCCCTACTAAAAATGCAAGGCCTGGAAATTAGGGATGGGCGATATCTTATCGTTTGCGATATACTGGTAAAAATTCTCCACACGATAATAATTCGTCTTCCCGCGATAATAATGATAAAGTCTAGTTGTTGACATATTTCTGTGTACGACTGTGTAGAGTAACGTGAAAGAAGGAGGACGTGAAATTGAGCAGCTCCTTCTACAATCTGGAACAGGGTTGGATAGGGCTGTACAGTGCGACAAAAATCGGTCTGGGCCTCGAGTAAATGTACTACAGTAGCATGTGTGCCACACAGTTTTACATGTGCATGAGTCGTTTACAAACCTGTTGTCCAACAAAGATATTTTAATTTATTGACATGCTTTTTCTCCATATTAACTTCATAACATAGTCAAGTGTTTGAAATAACTTATCTTTGTGATCAGATGTGGTTTCGTATCACAGAATAAGGCAGAAATCATACTATTTTATAGCATTATATATAAGGTGATAAAGGCTATGTCGATTAGCATTGCATTATAAATATACTTTATCCTTATAAAAAACACCCAAGATTGCTTGAAGAACACAGATACCATATATTTTGTGCAATCGCATATTTATTGTCTTGAGTTAAAATGTCTTTATCTGCGTTTTATTCAGCTACAGCGATCACTGGATACTTCTTCCTGGAGCATTACTTCTGCTATGCATATGTGGAGTTTCTGCGCAAGGGCGCCCTCTGGCTTCCAGTATGAACTAAACAGTCATTACATTACGTGTGTACTCCGTAATGCTCACAACACCCTATTTTGGGTAAAAATAGGAAAGATAATACTTTTCTCTAAAGCAGTGGTCGCCAACCCATCGATCGCGATGTATCACTGAAGGGAAGTGTCTTGAGAAAAGTTTTGATGGCAATGGCATTTTCTTCTCCGTATAAAGCACAGCTCTGCTTTGTTTACAGCGTTAACCAAGGACGCGCTATAGTGCGGTCGGTTCATATGCAGTGTTGCCAAGTCCGCGGTTTTGCCGCGGAATTGGGCTACTTAACACTGTTGCCGCGGGTTTGTCGTTCATGTCCGCGGGTTGAAGCGACCCCAATAACGTGATATTTAGTCCCTGGAATGTGAATTTTACTTGAAGATCACCTCCTGAAAACGTGTATCACCTCCTGAAATACCCCCGGAATGCGATTTTTACAGGGGTACCCTCCTCGAAACGCGATTGGACTAGTTTTATTGCGATAACCTGGCAACCCTGTTCATAGGCGCCACCTGCTGTCAGAGAGTGCGTCTCATTCAGACCTGCTGTTTTTGTTTCGTGCAGATGTTTTATGTAGCAAATAAATAAATAACATCTAAAGTCAGACCATTCTGTTTTTGTTTTAAATCCTGAAATTAATCTAAATCAAAAACAACTGCCCGTGCAGATCATGATTAAAATGCAGTGGTTGCCTCTAATTTCAAATGGCTAGATATTTTTGTTTAAAGCCAGTTTGTTTGTTACAAAGCAAATAGCCAATAAATACATTTGCTTAAAAACCAGTATCAGTATCAGAATCCAATTGGCTAGTTAAAAAAAAAAAAGGAAAAGAAAAGAAAATCTGATTTAGCTATGACCGGCGCATCACTAATTAAAATACTTAGTAAAAGGCCTCAAATTTGAAGTACAATCTGGGATGTCTTTTTCTATCAATTCTTCAATAGGTAGATCTTGTCTTTCATAAAGGCCGAGGTCAGGGATCTTGGGCCTAAAAAGGTTGGTGACCACTGCTCTAAAGAAACAGGATTCCCTAAATTATCGTCATTGATATCGTTATCGCAATAAATATCAGAAATTATCGTGATATATTTTAAAGCCCATATCGCCCATCCCTACTGGAAATACAAGGCATTAAAATGCAAGCACTGTTAATGCAATGCATTATTTTTTCAGTTAGTGATATTCAACGTGCTTTTTTGTTTCAAAGACATATGGCATTAATTTTCTTCCATAGTGTCTGTTCCCCGAATAGTGAGGTCAAAATATAAATTCAATGCAGGAGCTAGAAAAAATCTGATCGTGATTAAACCAGAAAAATGTAAAATAAATGAACAAATTTTTAAAGTTTGGGCTCCTAAATATTAGATCACTTGGTACGATTGACACAGCCGACGCTTGTTGAAGCAGTTATTGTAAATGAAATGATCACAGATAATAGTTTTGATGTACTCTGCTTGACTGAAACCTGGCTAAAACCAAATGATTATATTGGTCTAAATGAGTCTATTCAACCAAGCTACTGTTATAAGCATGAGCCCGGTCAGACTGGTCGTGGCGGCGGTGTTGCAACAATATATAGTGATATTCTCAATGTTACTCAGAAGACAGGATACAGTTTAACTCATTCAAAATACTTCTGCTTAATGTTACACTGTCAGATATGCAAAAGAAATCGATCATATCTCTTGCTCTGGCTACTATCTATAGACCACCAGGGCCGTATATAGATTACCTAAAAGAATTTGCAGATTTCCTCTCAGATGCATACCTAACTAGTCTTCTACCAAGCTACAATCCATCACGCATCAAGGTCGCAAAACTCTGGACTTTTGGTAGTACCTAGGATAGCAAAGTCCACTTAAGGAGGTAGAGCTTTTTCGCATTTGGCTCTCAAACTGTGGAATAGCCTTCCTGATAATGTTTGGGGTTCAGACACACTCTCTCTCTCTCGCTAATTATGTCTCTATTTGTTTCTCTGTTTTTGCCACGGGATTAACATCCCGTGGTAACTAGGATTTACACAAGCTTCAGTCTGGATCCAGAACACCTGAGAAGAGATAATGCCAACCCCTCAGAGGACCTCAGATGATGCCAACCCTGAAACAACATACAGAATTACCAAATTTAGCTATAAATTTGATTGCATCATATAATAATTGCTTTTAATAGTGTTCATCATCTGTTTGATTACGTCTTTAATTGATTTTTCCTTACATGTCTGCCATATGTACATTAACGGACAATCACCACTGATAAGCGAACTCTAAATATTGTAGAAACTTAATTTGCTGTAAAGTTGCTTTGCAACGATTTGAATTCTTTTGATCTCAGGGCTTGGTTTTTGCTCTGATATGCATTTTCAGCTGTTAGACCTTTTATTGAGAAACGTTTACAGTTTACAAACCTGTAAAAGTTTACAAACCTGTATTTTTATTAATTTTTTGTTGTGGCAAATACTTTCGCAAGGCACTTTATATATATATAGCATATATAATTAAAACTGCATGATATCATATTTTCTCTGTTTTCAGATTTTTCTCAAGAACACATTAAATATATCTAGGAAGTTTTATTTTTAAAATTCACTTTATTTTTGCTACCTTTCAAATATTTTTATGTATTTTATTGAAATGTGTTCTTCAAATATGAAAATCATTTAAGAAAAATGTCCCTTTAAATGTTTTATATATATATATATAACTACGATCTAAATAAAACTGAAATATCACAAACCAATTCATGATTTGTTCTGTTAAAATTATTTATGTACATTTTTATACAAATTACACTTGTCACTTAGTTGTGGTGATACATCCACCACAAATAATAATAATAATAAAACTTAATTTATATAGCACTTTTCAAACATAAAATTTGACTCAGGGTGCTTTACATAATCAAGAATTACACAGTTAAATCATCAACAACATTACATACAATAAAACAAATACATCAAGCATAAAGGTAAAAAAACAACTAATACTACATATTCAATAGAAAACAAACAAAATAAAAGTGATCAGCTACAACACAGGGGGGGGGGGAGCCTGGGAACCTGAATCTGAAAGCCAAGTTGAAAATGTAAGTTTTTAACGTCCTTTTAAAAATGCTGAGTGTACTAACTTCCCTAATATCTGATGGTAATGTATTCCATAACTTTGGTGCATAATTTATGAAGGCTGTGTAGGATTTGCCATGAACCAGAGTTCACCAAATGAACACAACACCAAACGAACACTAGCTAGGATCAAGGCGATTCCCCACTGAGTCAGCCAAAGGCCCTAAAATCTAACCAGTCTGACTCAACTGTCTTCCCTTATCTGCTTATTCTCAACTGGGGGCTGTAAAGATAAAAGCTGATCAAAGAAGTAGACCCTCCATTGTCCTCAAAACAAGCCTTCTATGGAACCCAAATGGCCAAGCAACACTTCACAGGCAATCACATATACAAGAACCCCCACCTACCTACCTACCTACCTACCAACCAAAACATTCCAAGACATCTTCCTTTGTCTCAAAAGAGAGACATAGTCTAACTAATCTCTATGTGTGTGTTTTATATATGTGTTATGTTTCATTTAGCCGCTGAAGTTGTTTGTGTGTTTTAAACCTTTATTATGACTACTTGAAACAAGTGAAGTGTGGCCAAGTATGGTGACCCAGAATTTGTGCTCTGCATTTAACTCATCCAAGTGCACACACAGGTGTTTAAACCATTCAGCATTTGCGCGCTCTCCTAGAGACAGTGCGCTCATGCACACTCAAAGAGCGCACACATAACGTCAGATTCACGCATACTATTGCTTATATTTATAAAAAGCCTTTTCAGTAACAACGTTTAGATTTGAAATCAAAATGGATAAATGTTGTGTTTTTGCAAACAGCCGCGGATCAGTAGCGGACCTCTGTGTGAAAGCACAATGAGTTTGTGCTTCTTCTGCACCGCTTACATTCTGCACATGGACTGCATGCACTGCAAACGGAGTATGTGTGAACCTGACATGAGGCCGCCTTAATTCAAGCTTGTGCTGTGTGTAAGCTATTGTACAACAATTGCCCCATTGTAAAAACAAACAAAAAAAAAGCCCCCCTCCACCCCTCAAATCACCCCTCTCTAAAAAGAAGGCTGCAAAAAGATCGGTATCGGTGATTGGTATCGGCAGATATTGCTTCCTGTGATCGACAATCGGTGATCGGCCAAAAAATTATCGGAGCACCCTTACTTTGCTTTACGCCTACAACTTGTGGCCTTGTGACTTTCCGTTTAAGCCTTCGCTGAACCTCGCAGAAGAACAAAGAATATGCCTCCAGCAGCTTTTGTTGACCAAAACGAGACGAAACTAAATGTTATAACGTTATTTCGTCTCGTTTAGTCGCGTTATTATTATTATTTTGCAGTATTTCTGTTTACTGTGTCTCACTTCAGGGGCTGCATCAGGTCGCTCTGCGCAGACGCAGGCGACGTCATTTCCTCAAGCCCCACTCGCTGCATTATTTAGATCAGTGTTTCCCAACTGGGGTGCCGCGTAAAAAATAATTTTTTTATATTTTTAAATTGCTAAAATGTAAAAAAAAGCAGCTATTATATAATATCCATTTCTAATGTCGCCAATAATTAGAGATGCACTGAAATTCCGGCTGCCGAAAATTAGTTCACCGCTCAGGATTCACTTTCACGTGGTGTGACACTCTATGTATTATCCCGCTCTATGCACGTGTGTGCTCCACTCAGTTGCTCACGGCCCATGTGAGTTCTCCATTCATATACCGTTCATGCTCATCGGAACAGCCCGAAATCAAGTCCAAGTCCACTCAGAAATCGAGCTGACAGGAAACATCTATGTAGTACAGTATTGTTTCTGTTTGTAATAGCCCTACTGTGTTGTAACAAGGTGTGGTAAATGGACAACTCTAGTAATGCTGCCCTCTCATTCATTGATCTGCTAACCGTTATGCTCATGTGTCCTCTGATAATAGCTAAGATTAAACATTATTTGGATAATTGGTAAAAAATAATATCTTAATAGACCTACTGTGTGTTAGACCCAGAGCCAGACAATAGACCACAACGGAGGAGCAGAGGACCACCACGGCCAGACAGTAGACCACGACGGCGGAGCAGAAGACCACCACGGTGGAGCAGAGAACCACCAGAGCCAGACAGTAGACCACCACGGCGGATCAGAGGACCACCACAGTAGACCACCACAGCGGATCTGTAACAAAGAGACAGACAACACAGACAGAACATTGGGGTTGATAGACAAGACAGCGTTCAGACGCAGCCTCCCTGGCTGGGTCGGGACAAGACAAAAGTTCACAAATGGCCTCCATAGCCATGACAGAACGAGCAAGGAGTTCGCAGACGGCCCTTATAGCTGTGACAGGATGAGCAGAGAGTTCACCGACAGCCTCCATAGCCGTGACAGGACGGGATGAGAGTTCACAGGCGTCCTCCATAGCCATGACAGAACGAGCAAGGAGTTCGTAAACGGCCTCTATAGCCGTGACAGGACGGGATGAGAGTTCACAGGCGTCCTCCATAGCCATGACAGAACGAGCAAGGAGTTCGCAGACGGCCCTTATAGCTGTGACAGGATGAGCAGAGAGTTCACCGACAGCCTCCATAGCCGTGACAGGACGGGATGAGAGTTCACAGGCGTCCTCCATAGCCATGACAGAACGAGCAAGGAGTTCGCAGACGGCCCTTATAGCTGTGACAGGATGAGCAGAGAGTTCACCGACAGCCTCCATAGCCGTGACAGGACGGGATGAGAGTTCACAGGCGTCCTCCATAGCCATGACAGAACGAGCAAGGAGTTCGTAAACGGCCTCTATAGCCGTGACAGGACAGACAAAGAGTTCCCAGACGACCTCCTTGGCCGGAACAGAACAGGCAGAGCGTTCATAGACGGCCTCCTTGGCCGGAACCGGACGAGCAGAGAGTTCATAGACAGCCTCCTTGGCCGGAACAGAA